ATTACTATATTAATTAAGACAATTAATTTAAGAAAAAAAATACCAAGATGGGGTAGGACAAGGAAAGAAGAAATCAAAGACTTAGCTGACTGGAGGGAAGGCATGCCTAAATAGCCAAGTTTTTAATTGTCTTTTAAAAACAATTAGGACCAGAGGCTGGACGGCTCTGGTCCTGGAGGGGGCTGACCGCAACGACCACTCACAGCCATGAAGAAGAAGAAGAAGAGGAGGAGGAGGAGGAGGAGGGGGTGCAGCCGAGAACACTCACATGCTTCTCGCCTTCGATCTTCTTATCAGCTGCCTGCATGCCATCCAAGTACTTGAAATACAGCTCCATCAGTCGGTCCACCTGCCAGGGAAACAGAAAAGCCAGTGTGTCGTTTGGTGGTGGTGGGAGGTCTTTAGCGTAGAAAGGCAGGCTTCCTGGACCACGTTAGGGCCCTGCTTCCTTCGGCCGAAGGGTGTGGGAGGGTCATTTCAGGAGGCCGCTCCTGATCTGGATGAGGCCTTTTGGGTCGCCTTGAATCTGAGCGAGTGCAAATGTCCAGGAACAGCCTGGTGGTTTCTTGGCACTCAGAAGGCGTTGCAGAAAGACCCAGAGGCTCAACCGCTGCGGGGGCTCCCCCCAAACCAGCCCTGCTCCTCGACGTCCCTTCCTCCTTTGCTGCCTTCCTACTCCCCCTGACACGGGCTCTAGATGGCAGCCGCTTCCCCAAGACCACCTCCCGCCGGTGCCCCCCCCCGTTATGCTCCCCATCGGTCGGTTAAGGTAGCGGCCCTTCCTTCTCTTGAGAGGCCAGGCAAGAGGACCTGGAGGCAGGAGGGGCTCCCCTTGGTTCTTGGCCCCCAGGCCACCGAGACCCAGAGGCGCACAGCTGGTGAACGCGGGGACTCCACTGAGCGCCCAGGCTAAGTGCCAACAGATTCTTCTTCCTCCACCACAAATTTCAGGGGAAGGAATCGCTTGTAAGCGATGGCGTTTCAACAACAGGGTTTCCAAAGCTCTGCGGACACACAAATGGCTGTTCTCTGCAGAACAAAAACCAACAGAAGCCCCTTGGGACTCGTGTGGGAAGCCCCACTGGAAGCATGGACTTGCACACCCCCTTAGCTCAGTTCCCTCTTGGTTGCCACTGCCATTCCAGAAAAAAAAAAAGGGGGGAATCTTGAGAAGCATTATTTCAGAGATCGTTGTTTGGAAGCCAGAGTGCTGGCTTTTTAAACTGCCAAGGTGCCCTCCTGCCCCACCCTGGGCCCACCATCCATTGCGAGGGAGCCCCGAGGAGCAGCACGTCTGCACCCAACAACCCAAGCCGGGCCCCCCCAAGATCCTGCTCTCCACATTTCAAGGAGCCCGCAGAGTCTCGTGGCTCCAGAGTTGACTTCCGATGGTCTTGGATTTTGCAGCAGCAGCACCCGCCCAGTGGAACAGGTGGGCTCCCATCCTAACGCATTTCTGCTCTCACTCGCCTACGCGCTGAGACACTCTCCGGACTGTTTGCGTTACCAGTGGCGCTTGCTTTTTAACCAATCGCTTCTAGTGATTTTACCACTTTGCTGTTTTATTGCTTCATCCACTCCTTTTACCGCGTTATTGTAAACCCCTCTGCATAGGTCTAAATGGAAATGCAATCCACCAGTCCATCGGGCCTGGGGTGCTTTCTGCGCTCTGCTGGCTAGAACCGGGGTGGCTCTACCAAGAAAGCAAGTGCAAGTGGCCACCCGGTGCAAACCCAGTCGGGAGAGGAGTGGGGGAAGCGCTGCGAGACCTACGTGGGAGAATGTCCCGGTGGGGTGTGCCAGACGTTCCCCTGTGTGTGAAACCTGTGTCAGAGACTGCCTGGGCAGGTGGGAATGCCATCTGGATGTTCCAGGGAGCCCACGCCCCATTTAACAGACAAGCGAGCCATGTTCCCCTGGCAACGCCACCCTCATCCCGTCCGCCCCACCAGCTCGCTCACCTTCTCGCTGTCGTTCTCCGTGAATTTGCTGAGTAGACGGGTTCTCTGCTGGGCCCGCAGGTTCCTCAGGAGGGAGGCCAGGATGGAGCAGACATGCTCTGAGGAGACAAGGAAAAAGAGACCCCCCATCAGGAGCAGGCCTTTAGATTAGGCCTCCTTCAGTCTCGAAAGACGATAGTGACGTGCTCTGAACGGAGGACTTGGAACAGGGTTTCGTGTGTTGGTGAGAAGGCCAATTTGAGAGTGATCATCCCTTTCATCTTGAAGACAAATGCAATCTGTCCCCTGTCCGGCTCCCTGATTTGGCTGCTTTCGGGATGGCCTCTTTGCCTCAGCCTGCTGGACAAGGGTCTCTTCAAATTGGGAGAGGCCGTGATGCACCACCTGCCTCCAGGCTGAACGCTCAGAGGGCAGGGTTTCCCATCTGTGGAGGTCCATTCCTAATGCCTTCAGATCCCACTTGCAGAGATCCTTGTATTGCAGCTGTGGTCCCCCTCTGGGGTGCTTTCCCTGCACCAATTCTCCATATAGGAGATCTTTTGGAATCCTAGAATCCTAGGATCATGGAGTTAAAAGGGGCCTGTAAGGCCATCCAATCCAACCCCTTGCTCCATGCTGGAATCCAAATCAAAGGAGATATGCCAGTTTCTCTTGAATGCTTCCAGTCTTGGGAGCGCTCACCACCTCCCCTTGAGGTCATGAGTTCCGCTGTCATACTGCTCTAACAAGAAGTTTTTCCTTAGATTCAGCTGAGGTCTAGCTTCCTGTAGTCCCTTATTATGTGTCCTGCACTCTAGGATGATCAAGAACAGGTTGCCGTCTTTGTAAGGGACACAGGGCCGTCCCATTTCTGGACAGCTACCAGTAAGCGGAAAAACTGGGGGCTGACCTATTCTGCCCAACGAGCCTGAAGCTACAGCTTGAAGCTGACTCTCCAGACATGGTACAGTGGTGCCTTGACTTACGAACGCCTTGACCTATGAACATTTTGGCTTACGAACACCATTCCAATACAGATTAAGTTCTTAAGTCAAGGCAACACTGTATTTGTGCCAGAAAGAGCAGCTCCTGGCAGTGACAACTCTTACTGAGCTATAGCAGGAGCGGATTCTGCAACAAGGCTCAGTGCTATTTGCACAGAGGCCTTTCTGCCGAACTGAGTTCGACACAAAAGCTGGGCAGAATAATGAGCTTGTTGCCAGCTCGGCAGCTGCTTGGATATTGCTGACTGGTCAAGTTCAATGCAGCGCAAGCCTTGGAAAAGGAAGGAGTTTGTGGGCTGGGTGGGAGCCCCAGAAGGACCTCGAAGCCAAACAACACCTTGCAGAATCAGCCCACGTCCTCCCTTGCTGCCCCCCTCCTCATGACCACTCCTTCCTCCTCCAAGCAGCAGCACAAAGCAAGCACACAAAAGGGTTTCCTCCCAACTTGGACACAGCAGGATTAGCTGCTCCACATTCATTTATAGGGCGCCGGGAAATCTCTGCACTTCTAGACTTCGCTGAACTATAACTCCCAGGGGTCCCCATGACTGGGCATGCAGACCAGGGCTCCGTCCCCTCAGCCTCGGCCAGTACACATTTATTAAGCTTGACCTGTTCTATGCTGCGGCTTATGAGAAATGTTCCCACAACCACTTACAGAAAAATAAAAACTACAGTACTGCAACCATCGAAAACAAGAAGAAACCATATGAGAATTGGCACCAAATTTGACTAATTAAAAGTCAAGGGAAAAAGCAGAGCCCTTGTCCGGAGGGGGGGGGGCAAGGCACCGTGGAAGCGAACTCACAGCTGCAGCGGCACCATCGCCAAGCTCTAAAACCCATATAGCTTGCAAAACCAGTCTTTCTCTCTCTCTCTCTCTCCACAAGACACCAAGAGGTGTAGAGAAACTGCAGGGCTCCCCCACAACAAGCTTTCTTGCTTCCCAGATGAAGAATGAGAAAATTTCGGGGGGCGGGGGAGAGGGATGCTAGGTTTAATTCATTTATACACTGTGTCTCTTGGCGCAAAACTAGTGTATTTTCTCTTTATTTGAAGGGAAGTGTGCGTGCACGTGCACGCATCCAGCAAGCACAGAAGGGGTGCCTGATGGATCAAGAGGACAGAAGAAACTCATCCAACAGCTCTAGTGTTTTAAGAGTCTAGGCAGCCCGACAGCAGCCATCGCAAGCGGGGCATGTTCTGAGCCGAAGGAGCTGTTCTCGCCAATGTGGAAATCCTTGCTGGTAACGGGAGAGAAGACTGCAGCATCTTGCAATGAGAAAAAAAAATGTGTCCTGAGCCCATGGAGGAGACCAGGAAGGAAGGTACATCTTTCTTTCCAGATGGGGAGCAGGGAGCGCAGGGTGCAAGGGCACCCAAAAAAGTCCCCCCCCGATGAGCACTTCCAGGGCGATGAAGGGGCAGGTTTTTCTCCTGGCACCCCATATGCGTCAGCATCGGCCCTTGGAATGGTGCAGGGCAGGGACAGACCGATACGCAACATGCATGCTCGAGGATCAGGAAAATCGGCTTCCATTGGCTGAGATGGGCCCAAAGCCCGGCCGCTCAGCTGTGCTTTGAATTTGCAGCGCCTTATCAAGAGTCTTCAAACTGTCACGCACGTCATACGGGCAAATTCCGCCTAAGCCAGAATTTATCCAGGAACGGAGAGTGTGTTTCTGTGTCCAAGAGGAGCCACCGGCTGCTGCATCAGGCTGCACTGTCGCTAACAGAGAAGATCCAAGCTTTGTAACCAGAACGGAGCCCTCTTGGCTCCCCCTGCAAACCCGGGGGCCTTCCTTCTCCCTCCCCCAACACCTCTTTGACGGCTGTCCACCTTTTGTGGATGCAATGGCCATCATAATCATGTGCCGGAAAGTCAATTCTGACTTAACGGCGACCCTTTCCGGGGTTTCCCAGGTCCATGATGCGCAAAAGTGGCTTCCCATCCCCTTCTTCTGGAGCTGTCCTGGGACTGTGCAGCTTGCCCAAGTCCCACTTCCAGTTCTCTGAAGTTAAATTCAGTCTCTTTGCTGGAAAAAAAAGCTCACTGCCCGTGTACCGGCCACGGCGAGCCTGGGGCTTGGTCGCTGTGTCGTTTGCATGGAAAAAGTCCCAGGTTCTATTCCAAGCATCTACAGGGGGAAAAGGATTCCACCTACAGCCCTGGAGAGTTGCTGCTAAAGGGATCAAGGCTATAAAGCCTTTTGGCCTTTGAGTTGCTGAAGAACACCACTTGGACCTCCTGGGGCAATGATGAAGCCGTTGAGTGCTATCGGCTGCGCCAGGGACCTTTCCCCCAGAGACTGTGAAACCGCCCCCCCCTTTGGAATGTGCATATCTATTCAAAATATTTTTACCCCACCTTTCTCCTTGAAAAGGACCCAAGGCATCTTACAGCAGCGAGGGACCATATTTCAAGCTGAAAACAATGAGTATACAAAAGTCCTTTCAGTGTGACCTTGGAGGAAATGGAACACCCTCACAATGTTGTATCTGTGTCTCCGGTCCAGCCTGAGCCACTGTATGTCCTGCCCCCAACCTTCTGTCCGGTCCAAGGAGAAGCACCAGCCAAGGCCTCCCGTTGCTTTGCCTTTGCGTCTAAGAGGAGCTGCTCATTCGACTAGGGGCCCAAGAGAGCTACTCCTCCGACTCTAGGAAGAACAGCCAAGAGCCGGAGGGACTCCCCTCCGTCTCCTCTATTCCAGGGACGCCAAACCTCTGGCTCCGCTCCGCACTTTTGCTCCCGGTCCCACCAAAGAGGGCTGCAGGATGCATCTCGAGCCTCCGAGGCCCCATCTGGGCCCCCATGCTGGGCTCCTTGAGCCTTCTGTCATGTGACCACCTTCTGGGGCCCCTCCCTTTTGACCAGGACTTACAAAATCCTGATCCTACAGCCTGCTTTGGATGCGAGACCTTGCGATGACCTGTTCCGATGACATACCCATTTGGATTGACCACCAACTCTTGAGTCCTAGAACCAGGCCTTTGGTGGAGGTCCAAAAGACTCACAGGATGTTGGGGGGGGAACATATTGGACAGAGGAGGGCATGATCCGGAGGAAGGGCCGCGGCTCCTTAACTTGGGACCTTTGACTTTTTAAAAGTAGCTCTTTCTCTTTCCTTGTTACAGTGTTTGTAAAATGAACAATGCCATCACTTCCTTTTTCCATGTGGAAAAAACTAACTTACTACAGTACATTGCTTATTGCACTGCTGGTCACTTTGTGTTGCTTCTTTTAAGAGTCAGAAAAAAAAAACCCTCCACTCCTCTTAGGATTGGGAAGGGAATAGCATGAAAGGCGAGGTGTTTTATACCCCATCCGACAAAATGCCTCCAAATAGGACTTACGGCGTCTTTGGAAAATAACTATAGGATGTTACCCAGTATACCAGCCAAGTAACTTAGATCCAACCTGCACTCCGGACAGGCAGCTGCGTGACTGGGACTGCATGACTTCCAAGCTCTGTGGTCACTGCTCAGTAGAAACAGCAAGGCCAAGCAGGGTGCAGGATCAGTTCCACACACTCCCCCCCACCCCCATAGAATCTGTAGCCCGGTGTGTGGTTCAGGGCGTGTGGCCTTCCTCTCAAGGAGGAAAGGGAGCTCAGCCCACAGAACCTGGGGCCGGACCCCCACCCCAATCCTGTCAAAGGACAGAGTGATGACCCTTCCTGCTGCCCCCTCCCAGGAAACAGGTCTCAGTCGGCGGGCAGCGTTTCAATGCCAACCTCTTCTCCATACCGCCTTTGCCTTAATCTCGCTGATTAAGATTGATGAGGCAGAGAGGGCCATAAAATTTGCCTCTGCTACTTTGCTGCCAGAGGAGAAGAGTGTCAGAACTTGTTATTTTTCGGAGAGGAAAAAGTAATATAGGGAGGAGAGGGATCACCTCCTCATTGCTGCCAAGACAGATTAACAGGAGCTTCCAGAACTGTGCATTAGCCTGGGGGGCCATGGGGAGAAGATGCGGCCGACCAGCCACACATGGAAGGAGAGTCATGCACCCGTCCGGGGGCGGGTGGGGAGGGTTCTGGAAGAAGCACACGGCATCCCAAGGGATGGGCTGGCCCCCTCCCACTCCAGGGGACCCCACACACACACACCGCCAG